GTTTCATTTCTTAGCCCAACAAGATTCAATTCACTAAATAACCCTAAACATCTACACTAAAGTGCATAACATTGTCTCGACTCTCGTACTCACTCTCGCAGCCTCGCTGACATTCCAAAACCTATACAATCGCCGACCGACGCTGTGACCTCCGATCAAAGCTGTGATCTCTACCGACCGAAACTTTGACCGTAGCGATTATTTGAACAAGATAATATACTATTCTCTGACATTCCAAAAACATTGAATGTGTCATTAATTGTATTTATATAATGCTGTTATAAATGTTAAAAAATTTAATTATAGTACGGAACCGAATGAAACTGAACTGAACGGAATCGAACCCGAGCGGTTCCATAATTATATTTGGACCCCGACGGCTCCATTTACTAAATACCCGAAAATTTTGGTTCGGTTCGATTTTCTTTAGAATCGAACCGAACTGACCCAGAGAACCGAAACGACCCACGCCCACCCTAGATTAAAGTACAAGTATTCAAAAGCAAAATTCACAACTTGTAGGTTGTCCCAATTAAAGAAAAGAAAAGAAAAAGAATTAAAAAAAAATGAGAGGAAAATAGAGCAAATATAATCTTAGTCATATATACTATATAGTATTCTTGATTACCATAAATGAACCCTGTCTACAATCAAAATATATTCCTCATTCTCTCTACAATCTCAAAAAACTTTCCATTTTATTGTTGAACTCTAACTATTCAACTCTTGATCACTTATACCTCAAATCATGTCTATCAAAAAACTCTCAGACCCTATCAAAATGTACAACAAACCATTCCACGGGTGGAACGACTCCGGCGAGCTTGACGTTTTCGAGGCTGCCCGATATTTTTCAGGTGGTAGCGCCGATGAAGTTCTGGGCAGTGAGACCGTCCCAAAAACTGCTCGAATGAGCCTAGATATGCCTACCACTAGAACTTTAATTCCATCGCAAATTTATGTAATGGAAAAGCAAATCTTGAAAGAGAAGAAAAACAAGCAGCCTAGCTCTCCAGGTGGTAGACTTGCACACTTCTTGAATTCCCTATTCAAACAGGCTTCATTAAAGAAGAAGAAATCGAAAACCGGGGTGAAAATGACAAAGGATGAAGAAGAAAGCCCTGGTGGAAGAAGGAAAAGAAGAAGCAGCATTAGCCATTTCAGAACAGCAAGCAGTACTACAGATTCTAAGTCCTTGTATTCATCTATAAGTTCAGGTTTTAGAACAACTCCTCCTCATGCAAATACTCCTATTAAATCTTATAAAGATATCAGAAACTTTTCAGATTCTAACAGAACTATTTCTGGGCAAAAGTTCAATGGAAATGTCAAAAGTGATTATTCTTCTTCATGGCTGGATGATAAGTTCAAGTTCAACCATGGGTATCCAGAGAAAAACTGGGCTGATAAGTATCCAATGGAAGAAAATGAATTCAGAAAATTCAGTGATGTTGACGACGGAGCAGATAGTGATTCTAGTTCAGACCTGTTTGATTTACCAAATCATGAGTTAGAATTTTACTCAAGTGATCTTCCTGTTTATGAAACTATTTTTGTTTAGATCAGGCTGTAGCTTCTGCTTTGTTTTAACTTTCCCTTTATGTACGGTTAAGAATGTTTGCCTGTTTCCTCTTTTCCTTTGGACATATGCCATTGAGTGCAACAATATGATGTAGTGTACCACTACACAAGTTTGTATAATTGCGTATAATGAGAAATCATCCAAATTTGTTAATGGAGAAGGAAAAAAATCATCACACCCATGTTATCTTTTGACTCTGGGTTTAAGAAATGATATAGATTTGAAGATCATGCGCATTTTATAAAGTTGGATTAGATAAGAGTCGACGTGACAATATATAAATCTTTTATTTAATAATCTTGTTCAATTCATGATTAGATCCGACATGTCTTTAAGAATCTAGTTAATTAAAAATGGATCATATTGACAAACTAATTCTTGATTGAGAGCCTATATAGCTCAATATAATATTGTCCGATGTCTAATTTAAGTTAAACTCAATGTTCACATATCAAGAAGCATGAGTAAAATAAGGTGGAATATTACTAATGTAAAAGAAATTTCAGTCTTGCTCTTCAATTGACATATTTCGATGCTCAATCTCATTCTGTGAAGATCTTATGATCGTTTACGAATTTTCAGTTGTTGTAGAAGACAACCTAGTAACTAATTTTGAGAAGTTAAATATAACCTTGTGTGGCACTCATCCTCAAGAGTTCCCTCTCTCTCTTTTTTTTTTCTTTTTTTCTTTTTTTTTTTTTTTGAATGGGAAACTCAAAATACTCAACAAAATTCAAGTTAATTTACAGAAAAAAAACATGTTTTTGTTTGATCAGAGGATTCAGATAAAAGACAACATTGTAACATTTATTTATTTTTTATTTTGGAAGCACGTCATTTTAACTCTTAGTAATATTTGAATGGTAGCTAGTGTATAAACTAAAGTCAATTTGACAGATTGACCAAAGAGATTTATAATCATCAGAATAAATCAAACTTGTAACATGCATTAGACTATTCATATAAATGATGAGTGGACACCAAATTGGGTGCACTAGATAACGAACCACCCAACTCATCGAAGGCCTAAGCTTACCATAAGTTATGACATAAAAGTTACCAACAAAATGAGGGAAAAAAATATTTTTTAATATTTGGGCAGTGCTAAACAATCACCGTTTAAAATGAGCGATAAAGAAGTGATATAAAATAAGAAAATTTGTAATAGAAGTTTCATACCTTTCGAAAATGTTCCGAATACCTTTTACTTTTATTCTTTTAGTATCAGTAGGACATTTTCTCTGACGAGCTTGTTCTCAACATTGATGAAATTCATATCAATAAGAGGTTAGAATGTTGGGTTGCTGTATCCCGAACTTTTTTACCTTAGTTCTTAAATTCCTAACATTTTAATTAATGTGCATAATAAGGAGGGTCTTCGCCAAATGTTAATCAGTTGACCAAAAGTCAAATATTTGGCAAGGAGATGGTGGTGGGGATCGGTGGCTAGGTCTAGGAATCCTTGTTGGTGGTAGTTGTTGTGGTGGCGTGGGTGACATGTTTGGGTTTGGAGGTCGGTGAATTGGGGAAGAAGTGTATTTTCATTCTTTTAATATTTCAAATAAATCCCTAAATTAGAAACTAGTCAAGTGAAATACGATCTACAAAATAATTTGAGATTATTTTCTTTTTTTATTTATTTTTTAAATTGTTTTAATTAATTAAATATTAAATAATTATGTTGTTCTTCATTAAATTGGTCAAATTATGGTCTAATTTTTGACTTTTAGTCAAACAGAGTCCTTACTATGGGGATTAGTATAAATGTTTAAGATGCAATTATTAAGATTAGAACTTAGAAGGTTTGAGACTCGTCAATACGTTTTTTAAAGATTTGAGATATCTGTTGCAAATTTCCTATATAATATTGTTCAAATTCATCAAAATATTTAAGACAATAATAATGTTGTCTGCCTATTTTCTTTTAGTACTTCATTCAATTTATTGCTATGTCTAACAAATAATTATATCAATAACTATATCACATAGTGTTATGATTTGCCTCCTTTCTAGGTCTGGGCATCGGGTTGGTCGATTCTGGTATTTCAATACTCGAAATCATCCATTATACTTTTGGTATTTCGTAAATGAAACCATTCGGATCATTTTAAATGGTGGAACAAAACCCAAACCCGAAATGCATTGATGAATTTCAATAATTTATTTTTTTAAAAAGAATGAAATTTCATATAGGTCTCCATTTCGGTTACTAATTTATGTTTTTGAGAACCAGGCCGAAACCATCGGTTCTGGTTCGGTTTCGATCCAAGAGATCCAATTTCGATTAAAATGCTCAAACCTACTCCTTTCATCTAACTTGTTCTACATATTGTACACTAAATTGTGTACTTAACGACATCAATCTAGCTAGCTCAATCTCTTCAATTTTGACCATATAACCCGGATAATCAGATAATCATAACGTTATAAAAATTTGTAATAGAGATGTATGGAAAGATTTCGTTGTTGACAATTCTAAAAGTGGAATCAATTTTGTTGGTATCCAATCTCTTAAGGCCACATCAATAAGAGGATTAATTATTAAAAAATAAAATAAAAAATCCATTTCAATATGGTTAAAGCTTAATTATCAAGAATACTATATATGAGGTGAGGTGCGAAAAGATAAACATATTGTTGGAATTAAATTGAACAACAATTAACTCTGCATTCAGGTTTCTTAATAATATTGAACGTGATCATTGAATAATTGCATCGAGAAACTCGTTGACATTTTCTGGATTGGAATTTAAATTTTTTTTGAATAGAAGGATTGCAAGATTTTGGAATTTAGACCGTAAATTTCTGTTCGAAATAAATTTCATAATATAACATTTCAAGGTAGAAGATACCGAAGTCGTTGTAGTATAGTGGTGAGTATACCCGCCTGTCACGCGGGTGACCCGGGTTCGATCCCCGGCAACGGCGCTTTTGATAACTCCTTTGTCTTCTCTCTTTTTTTCCCAAAATTAATCGCAATTTAACCAATTGCGATTTCGGTTCAATGTTTGAGGGACCGCCGCCTAGATGTTCACTATAAAATCTGGCTTTTTAATTCCCGCCATTTCTCTCCCCGCGCCCCCCCTCCCTCCATACACACACACACAGGGCCGGTCCTGTGATAATGGAGGCCCGAGGCGAGGTCCGTAAATTGGGCCCCCGGACGAAATCAACGTAAAAATTTACGTAAAAATCTAATAACATTTTCAATTATGTACGCAAAAATTTGAGCATTACAAGTTTACGAAAACAATACAAAATTAAAATAACATCCAAAAAAAAAAAAAAAAATTGAAGCAAAATTGGGCCCCCTAAGAGTTTTGGGCCTGAGGCTGAGGCCTCAAATGCCTCAGCCCAGGACCGGCCCTACACACACACACACACCAGGGAAAATCTGAAGCAAAATCGATGGCGAAAAGAAAGGAAGATAAATCAGAAGGTCTAGAAATCGTATCAATCGGAAAAATCTATTCTGGTCCCTGGGATAAGAAGTATTGGAGCTCATCTCGGGTTCGATTTTTCTCTCTTTCCCTCTTTTTTATCTATATACTGAATAATTTTGATCATGGAGCTAGTTTCTTTTGTGCTTTTTGAATTATTGAGTAATGCAGCGTCAATTTCGTTTTTGTTTTTCGTATTCAGGTTATAAATCTGAAAATAAGATGTCATGTTATCATTTTAGCCCGTGATTTCAGTTGCTGTAAAACCTATTATTTTAATTGAGACTGGCCGAATGTTTGGATCTGCTAACAGCTGGCTATTGAAATCTAGAGAATAAAGTGGAATTGTAAGCATGGATAGGTCTATTAAGGGATGTGCTAATGAAACATTAGCATACTATAGAGCAAGTTGATGGTGAGGTAATGTATAATAAATCTTATTTTTTTTTCACTTATACATCATTTGGTGGAATAATTTTTCTTGAAAAGGGAAAAGCTCAAATGCTAATGGATACGCAATAGAGAAGATATATCTATCCCCGATAAAAGAAAAATGAACTGGCAGATATGAAAAATAATCCCTTTTCATTTGGAATAAATAATTCCATTAGTTGAGGCATGAGGATGTAACAGTAGGATGTTAGTGGATATGTAAATTGCTAAATAATTCTGTTATGATAACCAGAAGAACTCATAGCATTGGCCAGTTTTGAGCGTCAAGGAATGCTTTAAATTTTGATTTCTTATTCTCTCTGGGAGAGAAACTGAATGTTTTTGATGGATCAGAAGTTAGAACTAGATTTAGAACTCAACGTGATAATTTCTTCTATTTTTGATTTAGTTTTTTCAGCATAATTGCCTAACTTGAATGGCTACCATTACCCAACCAAAAAAGAGAAACAACAACTAGAATAATGAGTATTGAAGTAGGAAAGAACATGCTTACTGTATTGAAGGATATAATAAATACTCTTGAAATTTCCTCTAAACAAAAGGAAATGTTATACCAAGATGAAGTAAAATAATCCAAGAAGGAAATTATGGTGATATAATCCGAAGGTGCCTATATCCAATGCTGAGAATCTTCCTTTTAAGTTTAAAAAACAGCCAGAATCAAACAAGAACCCCCTTTAGTTCTAGTTGACATGGGAAACTAAAGTCATGGAAGCAACAGCTAAATATATCAGAGAATTAAAAACAAAACTGTAATATTTTATAGAGATTTAGCTCTATAACTTGTCCTGCATAAATTTAGTTTCTATCAGACTTCACCACACTAACAACCTTTAGGATAGACAGATACCACTATGAAATGAATGAATTTCAATCTGAAGAATTATGCATAATACAGATGATTTAACAAATGAGGCCAGAAAGTTAATAGGAAAGAATATTCTCCAAATTCTAAAATATTCGAAAGTACAATGCTGTGTTCTTTGGGTCTCAGAAACTCATATTATACTGAATTTCAGAATATTATCTTTAGAACTGAACATACATACATATATATATATATATATATAAGAAAAGATGCTTAAAAATGATTACTGGCTGATTTTTTTAATTCAATCATATTCCAAAAACTTTAGCTTAAAACAAATATAAATAGCTTCAATTTGAAAACTGAAATAGGTTTACGACCAATAAAAAAAAAAAATGTTGCAAGCTGGTAGACTGGACTCTGATTTAGAAAGGACAAATATTTCAAAAACTATGTGCAGAATGCTTGGAAGCTAGAACTTCGTTATAGCTTAGGTCCAGACAATTTCACAAGTTTGAATAGGGTTTAACATTCAAAACTTTCAAATATGTCTGGAACTTAGTTTTAAACTTTTGGAACTACTTTTAGATTTATAAATGAAATTTCTTTTTAGAATAGAATTAGGCCTTATCTGCTGATCCATTTATTTATGAGGTTTCCAATCTAATAAAATTGACTGAAGAATACCATCTGGTTCTTTATAAGAAAAGATCCACAAGTCTGAAAGCCATAAGTGGATTTCTGAAATCCCATTGTAGATGTTCTGAAATGTTCTGAATTAAATCAAATTATAGATGTCTGGAATCAGTTTATGGAAAATTTTGCTGTCTTTAAAGCTGAAATTATTCATTTTGAAAACCTGTCAAGTGCTGGACAGTAGACACCAAATGTATGCAATCATCAAAATTTAGATATTAAGGGAATGCAAGTCCAGTACTT